TCTATACAGCTTATGGCTGATCTTAATGTGCTGACTTGCAACACACCGTCTCTCTATAGCTCGCATGATCACTTCTATCTCGCTGCAGTTAGAGGGGTTTTTTGAGTTAATGAATGCGAGATTAGAGCGAACACATATATTCTTATGGTAATAGAGAACTGTATTGGATCGCTCTAACTGCTTTGCTCGCTCATGTGGATGTCCTCATAATGTCGGCGTGGTCTAACAATGGACAATGGGTGTTGACTTCAATGCACTTTCTTCGTAAGTGTTTGTTTTGCAGAAGAGGTTTTTGTCTCATAAGATTGCGTCAAACAACAGTCTACTCAAAACGGACGTTTTGCCAAGTGTGGTCCTACAAAAGCTATAGATTCACGCAAACCGTTGATTTCACTTTTTGAGGCAATTCTCTGTTGAAGGTTTTCGAGCTCGGCCCTGAGGCTGGTTACAATCACTGGTGGTTAATGCGCATCCTAGGATAAGAGAAGAACACGTTCGTTGAAGGAGATTAGAGCGGCCCATACTCGTCCCGAAGTTTTATTGTAGGATTTTGGCAAAATCTTAATGTAGAATACAATGGTTATAGGTGTATGCACACCTACTCATGCAGTTTATTGATATTTCCTACATTCATCTGTGTTCTCAGAAAGCGTACGGTTATTAGTTTCCGTTTAAAACCTATTCCGCAACCATAGCATGTATGTAAAAGTCAACTGACACAATATCAGTACTTAGATAAGATAAAATCAATCACTAAATTAATGGGAAAGCGAAAAGTCGATCTTCCAGCAAATCAGGAATCCATCGAAAACGGTGACTGTTTCGTACGGCGACATCATCACCAATCCGATGAGCACAGTAAGCAAGCCAAACACTATTTTGACACTACTGTTAAGTTTATCATATAAACTCAGGTACGATTTCGTCGCGACGACAAAGTGAGAAAGCTCATAGTTACTAACCTTTCTACTGAAACAATTATGTGGGCTTTAAAGGTACATTTTGATCGTCTCACTGTTAAAAACGAAATCATCTTGTACAGTGCAACTATTTACAACCCAAGGCTGCGGTATGCATAGGAGCTAGTGATTTCATTGGTCACTGCAGTGCCGTGATAAGTCTATAGATGAAGAGTATTGCTGCCTTCTATTGAAAATATCTATCACGTTTGTATTCTTCTTCATAATTTAAACTGCTCCTAGGCCAATCAGTCACTTAGTTTCATTGCATTGAGTTGTGCTGACTATTATGGTTAGACTTATGACTAACCCTTTGCTGCTGACGTTTTTTAGACGGACGCAATGTGTATCTTGGATGCTACTCCCACACGTGGGGTTCTGTATCACGGGCAACAACAATCTATAATTCTTTTCGCAGCCTATCATGAGCAGAAAATAGGGTCTGGTCGATCTAGTAGAGTGGGTTTTACTTCACTTTTATTTAGTTGTTCATTCATACAACCCAAATCTATGTAGTGCGCATCCTAGCACTTCCTTCTTTAGGTTGGTTTCTTCACATCCATTGCCCGCGATCATTTTCGTCGTAGGCTCGTATGAAGCTTGAGCATTTTGCCTTATGCATGGACATCGCTACAATACTGATAGCGCATGATCGTTTCTTTAGTCCCTAGATACCTGTTTTCATAAATCGGGTGGAGTTCTCTTTAGATAAGTCTTATACAATTTTGTGTCGACTTCGGAGAGATCGGTTACTTAACTCGCCCGGGACGGGGTCGAACAGAGACCATGCGTGTACTATTACGCAGCATCTCTAGCCAGTGCGCTTCGCATGGATCTTATTTCAGTTTTAATCCAGAACTTCGTGGCAAACTCTGCAATTCTGCTGGCGGAGCCTCTGGAAAGCTTTATCGTGCCTAGGCGTAGAAATAGATATCTATAGTCAAATCAGAGGTGCTCTCCATGTCACGACTTTCCTCAAATCTGATTTACAGTGATTTGCACTCTTCGTTTATTTTATCGCTGGGTTACCAATAAGCTCCGTTGACTAAATGCACAAGTTGAACGATTGCGAGCTAATACTTACAGTTTGCTGCTTAGAATATTTGTCTTAAATTTTGAAGACACCATTTCACTGGGCGCATGTGACGCAGTGGTTGGAGACGCCCTGCAACACACACGCGGAATCGATCCCTGCGCTCATGGCCCATCAAACCTTCCATCTCTCCGGGGTCGGCAAATTGGTACCATACTTGTCTGGGAGGATAGCAGTAATGGCTCGATATATCGGTAGACCACCGAGAGTCACTGTAAAGACCAGATATGCATTTAATCACTTTCAAACGATGCTTAATAAAGTCGAATACATGGCGCATCCCTCAGGAATTGATCAACGCCGAGAGCTTTATTCTTTATCCTTTTACCAATTCATTGTAGTATTGTTATTGCATAATTTTACTGCAATACTAATCCGTTAGAGAATTCAGAGCTTGGAACATTTCAGAACAGTTCCATTCCATTTAACTTCAATAGATCTATCTCGTTTAGGTTCATTCACATATTGCATTCGACTATATGTTCGTACAGTCCTGGACATTGTGGTTTGACAAGACCGTCTTCGAATCGAGAGAGAACAAGAGACACATCCTTCAGGCAGTGTTCGATCGCTAGCATTATCCCATTACGTAACCGTTCGATTCTTTCTTATGTGTGGTTTCTTTGATTCGCTTACATCTCACTGAAGTGTCATATAAATGTTGCACTTTCGATTAACTACAAAAAATAGGCCCTTTGCGGGCACAAAAACGAGCAAATGACGTGTCGTCGTGGCGTCCAGTGGAACGTAGTGGAGGAGTGGAGGGAGCACCCTTCGAATATGTTTATCTAGTGGTGCCGCCGTGCAACATGATCTGCTTTTTGACGACCAGTGTGTCCCGTGGCAGTCGGTACTCCATTTGCTGGTATGTAGCATGGCAATACCTTCAACACGGACTTCCATTAAACCCAGTTAACAGTAATCAATAATTTTTTTACGTTATTGAGCTGAAGCTAAGGTATAAAAAGATCTGTTGGTTAATTCGTTATTCACCAGTCTTTATTTAGAACCATTATTTTGTATGCGTATAGTTTGCTATTACGAACGCAAAAAGGATAAGGCTGCATCATGTTTTCGACTCCACTTGTAGAATTGGTTGCACACTTGACCTGCAAAACGACGAGACGGCTAACCGATATTATAGCATAACTCTTTTTTGTTCCTCTCAAGTTTACCGCCTCATCGTGGCTGGGAGGTGTTTGTGGGTATCGGACTGCGATGTGCAGCGGAAGGATTCATCCACTGGCAGAGTTTCCCAAGCTGAGAACGAGACTGGCGTTTCCATCAGGAAGGTTAGCTAAGAGTAAACCAATACCAGGATCGACCACCGTCCTTGTATCAAACTGGTCCACGGTAGAAAATCTCCCTCTGATCCACAAAGGCTACTATTGCCTGTGGTGGTGATGCCCTGGGGGGCAGACGGCCGAGCTGACCTCAGGACTCCAGAGAACCACAATAGCTAAACCACCAAAACTCCGGAAAATGGAGATTATGCTGGAGCCTGCACAACCAGTCAAGACGGACCACCCAAGTGTACAAGTAAGTTTTCTGTTTTCTTAGATAGTATGACACTAGTCTTCCCACCCCGGAGAGATGAGAATTTGTTTCGTCGTAGATGCATCAGAGGGCGTGATAGCGCAGTGGTTAGCGATGTCGTCGATCAGGATGCAAAGGCGTTAGTTTGACCTCCGCACCAACGCTTTCCTAACGTCCACTTGGCAACGCTATAGCCCGGCAATCTCCAAGATTGCAAGCAGAATTGACTCGATGAGTATTCCACGACATTCGCAAAGAAGACGAAATTCTCAAGCAACACCTGAAGCAACACACAAAATGTCCAAAGACCCTTGTACACGATGGATGCGAAGAAACGGCTCGAATGCAAGAAATGGAGGCATCCGCACAGTAGGAGTAATGATGAGTCATGTAAAATTAAAAAGAAGATGAGGCGTTCCCATCAGGACGCCTAACTAAAGAGCAAGCGTATACCATACCAGATGTCCGAAAATTAGCAGTGGTTGTTACCACACCAAAATTCATTCAAAAGAATAGAAGAGTAAAAAGTAATAAGAACACAATGCTCTTCATCACTCTCAAATGAGTGTTACTCAGTGGACATCCTTGGCACGTTAGAACAAAGAGTAGAGTTTTTTCATGTGCCTTCTTATGTTATTCCTAGATTGACAAAGTTTTCGAAGGAGTTGCCCGCTGCGATGCAAACTTAATAATAAGACAGTGAAGAAAATTAATTAGTTGGGGGCGTTGCTGGCTTTGGAATGTTATACTCTAATGCACTAATGAATTGTAATAGGGGTTCTGTCGAAGTGTTAGGTTGGAACTTATAGAAAGGAGACATTGTGTCTGTATGGAATGTTGAATTCTATCGTAGATTCACGGAATTGAGTTCGAGTTTCGTTGGAATGTAATGCTAGTGCAATTTGGGTTTTGATGCTGATTTACGACCGGCTTGTCTGCGCTGTGACGTGGGTGAACAGAGGGAATACGCAGGCGTTACTGTTTACAGGGTCGCCGTGCAAGAGGGGAGACAGACTATGTCACTAGAGCTTCGATTCGCGATTGCAAATTTGGCGATACAGTTGTCAGCTGATTCTGCGACAATGTTTTTCCGAAGAAGCGTTAGGAGATGAAGTGACCATTCGAGTGTTAAGAATAACAGGCTGATGTCCTACCGTACTTGCGAGTGTCACGAATGTCTTAAAGTGTTTATAAAGAGTGGACCTCAAACCCAGGTTTTGAAAGCCCATAAATGCATGTGCAAAGAACAAGCCGAAAGTAGCATATGAAAACAACGAGCATGATTAGCGCAGTCGTTATCTGTGTTTTATAATATACATAACGCTTAGTTCGATCCCACATGGTCTGCTATGAACCTTTTATCTTATCTTTCTCATATGAAATAAAAACTTGCATTCTTAACGACACCGCTTCTATTTGTTCCACATTACGCGAAGATTGTTGAAGTAGATGTCCGAGATTTGCACTCCACCGATCATCGTGCCGGAATCTCTTCTAAAATGATAAAGTTGAACTTAAATTCCTTTCGAAACGATCAAAACGACTCAATACTTAGAAAGTAGTATAGCACTAACTTATTTTTGCAGAAGAATTTGCCTATTTGACACCAGCGAAAACTAATATTGATCATCTTCTTGAAGCAAGGATGAAGAACTAGTATCGAGATAGGAATCAACGCTTCAGCGCAAGCACGGAGCTAAAACTATCAAAAAGCTCTTTAGAAGCGAGAATATTTTCACTATTTACAAAAACGCAGTGACTTCTTTCATAAAAAATTTGTCCACTTCTTTAAAAAAGTAGATGGAGGTTAAACTACAACTGATCGATTTAAGCGGATTTACCATCTGTGAGACAATGAATAGTGCTACATAGCCAGACGTCGCGCATTTTTCCGGCTCGAAAACGGGTACGACTGAGAAGAATCTTTCGAACGAGATGTCCAGTAATGTGACCACGGCATCGAGAAAAATAACCTATTTATGCTCATTCATTTATACAAATAGAAAGTCGTAAACGTAGAGTGCCATAGAAACGGCGGAATGGGGGCAACAAATGCTTTGAGGAAGGTGGAAAGATTACTTCTCACTTGAACTGAAATACGAAGCACACTGATGTTCTCCACAGTTTGATATCGAGAGTGAAGCAAACCACTTTCGAATGACCAATTTTTTCGGATATGATTGAGAATCAGGAGGACAATCAGGCTCTAAATAGATACAATGCGCAGCGCGGAAGTAGATGCGAAATGATTCCATTTCATTCTATTGTCGCCAAAATGTCGCATTTGACTTTAATCCTATTTGTCAAGCTTCGCAAGACCTGGCTTTAACCACCACGTTCAGACTTCCAGTATTCACTTAATGATTGGTCCACTTTACTTACACAGTGTTCTTTCTCGCTTGCTCTACATAGGCTTGGCGCTTAATAGTTTGACTCCGAGCCCTATATCTCTCTTGCGACATATACTTGCTGTGAACTGAAATCAACTGATCTCCGCGCAATTTCCCATCGTCCTTCTCTTTCCAAGAAGAAATAACCCCTTTTCTTTTATTGCATTTTTCGCTTCATAATTTGGTTTCTCTATGCACTTTGCTAGTTATGTTGGTGCTTTTTGCTTCCTACGAATTCTCGGTTCAACTCAAGAGAACGAAATTACTGACGCTGAGTATAGCCAACTGAATTGCAAGTAACGCCCATTGCTGAATGTTGTAGTTGAATTCGATCCAGTATTGGCAAAACACAACGAGAAAAGCGAAGATTACCTGAATAGAAACTACAAAAGTTAAAGAATAGCACGTGACAACAGATTAGTACTTAGTAAAGGCATCTCTCTTTTTAAAAAAAACAAAAACATATTGAAGAACATTGGAGAATGAAAAAACGAACGATGAAGTTATTTTGATGGAAACTTTTCTTTGAACTTTGACGTAAGCCAAGACTGAACCTAAAGTGAAAATTTTCCTAAAGAGTTAGTTAATGTTCATCGCAAAGCATTCTTAGCATTGTCATCAAAAAGTGAGAATTCACAAAAACTTAAAAATATGAACCAGCTTTAATCATAAAAGTGTAGGCGAACAAGTAACAATAAAATGTATGCATTCAATAACCATTCGTTGTTTGCAGGATAAGTGGTCTGGAACTCAACCACGGTTACACTTAAATTTCGCTATAAAATAAATTTGTAACAAGACAGGTTTGTAGAATTTAGTTTTTATGCACAATCATCTCCCTCCTTCCAACGGTTTACCGCCTCATCATGGCTGGGAGGTGTTCGTGGGTGTCAGACTGCGATGCACAGCGGGGAATTCATCCTGCCAGCAGGGTATCCCAAGCTGAGAAGAGGACCGGCGATTTCAACACGAAGCCTAGCTGAGAGTAAACCAATACCAGGATCGACCACTGTCCTGGTATCAAACTATTCGCAAGGTGGCAAATTTCCCTCTGAGATTCCAGGAAAACATAATGGCTAAACCAGCAGAAATCCGATAAATGGGAGTATGCTGGTGGCCGCACAACCTGTGAGGGCGGGCCGTCTCAGTATCCAAGAAAGTAAGCAATCATTCCTCTCTATTTTCCAATCTCCAATACCTTCACCATATGGGGGCTTCAGTACGTCAATCATTAAATTCGTCTTCTCCCAGCCGCGATATGTAGCGTTGGCTGGATTCGGCTACGGCTTAATAGTGTGTCATTTTCTATTGAAAATGTTGCATACTGGGTGAGTATGGCTTGCAGTGGATTTTTGGGCCAACCTGAATTTCCAAGTCCTTGAAACAGGCGGTTGATAGCTTATTCCATAGATCGAGGTTGATGGTTTATGATTATAAATTTTTTCAGGCACAACAAATAATTCTACCACTAAATGGATGAACAGCATTCTTTTACATATTCTGCTTCTTACCTTCTGCTACAGATTTCATTACGTAAGTTTTCTTGGATGCTTGGGTACATCGGTGAGACTTCACGTTTCTCGCAGGTACAGACACCTTTTTTATTCGCTAATTTGTACTGCAACCGCTACTGTTGAAAGTTGTCAATCTCTCGTTAGGCTTATTTTCCAGCTTGAGGATTTATTGTTTTCTTGCATCATCATGCTGACCGTTGATCAAGCAACATTTTCTATAAAAGCCCAAGGTAACTGTGTTAAGGCATTTTCAGATTGTCACCACGCACCGTTGGAAGCTTTCATCGGGGCGAAGTTTGCTGCTAGACGACTCGGATTTTCCGAAAACTACAGCGTTTCCTTGGTAATGGGGTGGAATCCAGCAGTCAATTAGGTTCCCACTTGAAGGCTATGTCTAAAGCCGAATCTCATTAGATCTGTTTATTGTTGACAATAGACGCAGTTGAACGTGGGTAGGATCTCATGATAGAAACAGGTTAGGTTAGCAAACGATACTTCCCATAGATTACAACACGAAATCACGACACGAAATAATGCAGAAGAAAACAATGACTAGTTTCATGGAAACACTGGCGCGCTATCATTTCCGTTAAAAGGATAAAAAACATTAAAACAGTGACATTTTTGATAAGTTTATACGAGGTTGATAAACAAATTTTACTCGGCTAGCCTTACCACTTCTTCTTCCTTCTAATAGCCAATAGACCGAGTCGATGGTCCACAGGCGTTCGTACTCTCGACGCAGTGTCTTCGCCCTCGTATCGAGTGTAATCTTTTTCGATTAGACCAGCGACTCGGATCGTTGGCTCTGAGGCAGACGAATGGGCCGAAACGTTAGCCAAATAAACCTTGTTATCGACCTCGTGTTAGATTATCGATAAAAGACTACATTTAAAGTTTTTCAAGTTATATATGCGCCGTCTGGTATTTAAAATAAATGTTACCATTGCGAATGCTGTGGACTCACGCAGAACACTTGTCCTATCCAGAATAGTGACCATGGCCTTAGTTGTTCGTACTGAACCGAGTAGAGTGTGGCAACCACCCTCTCAACAACAAGCAAAATAGCACAGGGAGAAGCGTACACATAAAATAACTCTGAAATGATTCAATCAATTTTAGCGTGCTGGCACAACGAAGCTTTCAGGCACTCAATTCCGAGCCCCAAAGAAGGAGTTTTCTTTTAGCAACATTAGCTCAGATTTCTTCATAATTATTTGCAAAATTTACTGCTAAATCATTATCAGATATTTAATTTTCATTTCCACCACAATACTCGGCCTACAATTTTTAAGGCGAAATGTTCTTCAAACGTAAGGTTGGAAAATGTCAAGTATAGAAAATCTTATCCAAGAATAGATTCCAGCACTTCTTTCGTTCCTATTTCTTAGCATCAATCAACGCGATGGTCTTCGTTCTCGCTTAGGATTCGGCTGCAGCTTGAGAATTTTATTCATCTTGAATAACTGAATTCTTGAGAAATTAATAGCGGTAACCTTTATTTTTAAAGTGGCATATTTCTCGGAGTTTCGGTGTCTTTGCGAATGCTTAGCTTCTGCTGCTTTAACCATAACTGTCAGTCCTTTTTTTATAATCTTCTTTATCACTTGTCTGCGTTGTTTTGCAAGTTAGGACGTGAGTTGTGGTGCCTGCAGGTCGTGCGACTGTACGTTGGCATATCTGCGCGATTATTTCTGGAGACCAAGGCCTCATGGTGAGTCTGGATTTCTCAGCTTTCACAGCACTAAAGTGCCGTTGTTTAGGGAGCCGATCATATTCTTCGTTAATGTTATCAACAATGGAGGCTTCCCATGAGCCGACTAATGATATCAGTAAATCCCAGTTTACTCTGGTTTTGCGATTTCGTTTTTCAACTTAGCGGCCTTTAATCCTTTCCGTGAGAAATAAAACCTTACACGAAGGGGGCAATGGGCAGCGACATTGGTTGGGCAGGATCTTCAATTTCCTTTGATGTTGACTATTTCGTTATGGTACTCTCCACTAGGGGATCTCATGTCCAACGTTGAGGATGGGGCAGCTGGAATTGCTAGTTACCATGGATGGTCTTGGTCGTCATGATAAACTCAGACAGCCGCTCGCCTTGCTCTTTCCATTCTGATCCGTGCGTCTCAATGTAATGTATCTTAGACCTTCTTCTGGGGCCAGTCTTAGCGTTAAAATCTCCAAGGATGACCTTAACGAATGCATGGCCTTCTTTTCTGTAGAGCGTCTCCAAGTCTGTATAAAATGTTTCGTATTTCTTAGTCGCCCGATTTGAGTTGTAAGATATTCACGGACAAACTCGTGTTGACGAGAACTCCGACTCCTCTATTGTCGCTTGTTCCGAGGAAGAGTTCTTCACCGGTGTCAAAGACGGCGTTGAATCGGTTCCGTCGTCTCGTCTTGGCCAGGCCGATGACGTCATTCCTTATCCTTCTTACTTGCATGAGCAAGTCTTCTATCGAGGACTTGGATGCAAGTATACGTGCATTGTAGGTACAGATCGTCACTATAGTTCTTTGTAATCCAGGCAGCTTCCATTGGCCCTGAGATTTTAGCAGTCTCTCCGTACTCGTCCTACCCAACGTTGCGAAATTGGGGGCTCTTTCGGGTTCAGGGGAATGAGGCTCGTTTTTTTTAACTGTGTTTAGCATTTTCGTTACTCACGTATAGCTTAGCTTGCTGGCCTCTAGATGTGGAGGCTTGGTATACTCACGGGTAGCTTGCCAGTCGGTTCCAGACTGGATATGGAGCTTATTTGTTTGAGGCGACTCTTAAGTGCCTCCCATATACTTCCAAACCACTTTATTGCAGGCGTTCGGCCAATTTTGCTCGTAGAATACAATTCACAAAAACTAGGAAACACTTAAGCACGCATGAGAGAATATATTTTTGTGAACACAGCAAGAACGTGCCAAATCGGAGCAACAAAAGTAGGAATTCCATTCCCTGGATCTAATTGTGTCTCAGAGAAGCATAAGGTTTTTTTTTCTTCTGTGATTAACCTGTTATCCACCACCTGGGAGTGCCCCCACATTGGCTCGCTACTACACGCTTAATACTTTTCCAACAAAGCAAGTTAGTTCACAAAGGATCATTCGTTTTTCAAAAGATGCTCCTAAATGAGCATGTTTCTTCTCTCGTTTTGCTCCCTTGGTAGAAAAATCGTTCGGTAATTTCACAAAGGAAGAGTAATGTAGACTTTTGAACGCTTCGCGAAACCCCAACCAATAAGGCTTCTTCATCTCATTGTCAACCAAATTGGTGCAGAAATTTAAGCACAACTTGCTCAGGTGTTCTAATCATTAACAATGTGCTCAGTGAGATCAAATGTAAATCGAACCTTTTTTCGGTTTTTTCTGTTTTGTTCAAGTTTTCTTAGAGCTAATAATTTAAAATGTCAACGTTAATAACGTTCGTCATTATAACGAACACAATTAGCACCCTTTGTTAGCTGTTGGATTGAACAAGCCTTCAGCACCCTTAAAATGTCGAGGTTCCAACAAACTAACACTTCACCCATGATTTTTCCGGATGACAAACAAAGTGCTTCATCAAGAACATTTCATCGAACAGTCAATGAAACTAATGAAGGACATTTCCGGTTTCGGTAGTATTATAAAACAGTTATTTAGTTTGCAAGCCTACCTAGTACTCTCATATCAAAGCATCTCCGCAATGACAATTATTACCACAGGGTTCTTCGTACAGTGAAGCGTAGTGAATGGCTTGAACTGCGTTGAGACGTTCATTTCAAAGATTTTCGGTGAAAGCTGCTTAATACATTGATTTGGCTCACTTCCATTCATGAGGAGAGCAAGACAAATCGACAAACAGACAGTTAGAACGGTGTAACGCCACACTCAACTCCTTTTCCAATTAAACTGAGTTTATTGACGGCTTCAGCTTTCTTAATATCTCAAAAATCAGCCAGCATTTTTGATTCAAGCTGATGAAATGAGGAAAAGATAAGTGCTGAGGCCCATGTGGACGCTTGGAATTTTCCAGTGTGTCCGGTCTTTAGCACAGTCTCGCCGGTTGCACGTTTGTTTCATAACAAATTCGGAATAACGTCGTGTTTAAGAAAAACGACTTGAGGTCCTTAAAAGCTCGGGATTTTATAGCGGTGGAATTGGTAAAATTGCCTCTTGTTGTCAAAGATGTTCAAATTCTAATAGGTTTTGTTCTAACCAATAAAGCTTACTACGAGATGAAAAAGATTTGCTTAAAGTTTAGACTGTCCAAGATACTTTTGGTCAAGTTTGCATTGGAAACAATGCACATGATTGGGTATGTACTAGCAACAACTATTGCAAGACGTAGAAGCCTTGCTTGCATCCTGCGGAATACATGATTAGTTGATTTCCTGCCTTTTTAAAGGTGAAGTACGCATAGTAATCCGATCATCGCACTCTGACAGTCCATTAAGCAAACCAGAAATATTCAAGCACTACTGAAAATATCGGAAACTAAAGCATTACTTGTAGTCCCGAGACGAATACGCTGAGCTTGAAACATACGAGTTCGTGCCTCTCCCCCGTCGAGTCGATTTCATCCCGGATATATCCAATTGAAATTTCAATCTTTGTCTTTTTCTAGAAGAATATTTTTAGCAATTTTGATAGAAGCGAAAGCAATCTATTCTTTATCATGTATTAACTCTCTGCATAGGCGATAAAATATAGAGTACAAATACACAAATTTTTCAAGAAAAGGTTCAATCTGCATTTGTCATGTAGGAGCGAAAGCTAAATAAAGTATAGCAAGTACCTCCGAGTTTTTTAATTATCCTTACGACATTGTCTTCAACATTACCGAAGAGCTGGACACTCGTGCAGAACATTTCGAGAAAGTCCGAGAGTGCATAGCTTAGGCAGAAGAATGCCAATAGAACGCTGAAATTACTGCCGAGGATCGAGACAAGACTGAGTTCTGAGGTGGAAAAAGGAATGGAACTTACCAGAAGAATGGGTGAAATGTGTCTTTTCTGTAAAGAACAAGAATCGTCGTCACCGAGTACATAACCACATGATAGAAATATATTCCAGAAATCATTATATTGCCAGCAGCCGTCAGCACTTTGCAATCCACTGCCATGTTCTACAAGTAGTTATCACTGTAATAAATAGTTCATCTCTAATTCGATACGAAGGACGAATGCCACAACTCCAATTGGAAGTTTCTCCTAGAGCTTAGAGAAAAAATGAAAAGGACCTAGGACTATGACTAGGGAGGGATTGCTCTATCTAAGATTCTTGTAATAATTACCTCGTCCAAATACACTTATTACGAAGAGAAATGCAACAGGCAGTTAATAGTCATAAGTGTCGATATTACTGCCCGATGCAATTACGAACATATCACGGTATGCTACCAGGAGAGTTAAAAAGCGGTATGCCGTCGAAATTCAACGACTTGTGAGAGGTAAGCTATACATCCAACTTCATCAGGCATCGTTGCAGGTGAATGAAAACGCAACCGAGCGTTACGATGGTTTACTCTGGCCTGCCGATGTATCGAATCAGTGTTTTATCTTCCAGGCAAGTAGAATAGGAATTCGTCGATTCCAGAGTGGAGCTGAAAGCTTTGACGAGCTCAGAGCGAAGGGTTAAACCAGCGAGCGTTTGGGTGTGTATTGCTGGACACATATAACAACTGCACTACAAGCTCCCCTTGTTGTTAAGAAGTAAAAATGTTATTTTCCACTGAGAAGATCGATTGGCACTTAATCTCGTCCACCATACTCAAATATCCTACGCCTACAGTATTCCATTTTTTTGAGTGCTGGATTGGTTTTTAAGCAAAGCATTCGAAAAATCATTAAGCTTACAAAGTTCTTTCCTATTCCGCAGTAGTGGACTTGCAATGTCTGCTAAAGCCTAAACCAATAAAGTCATAAGTAATTCACCCTCTGTGAAAATGATACAACATTGGCACCATCAATAAATTAAAAACGGCAACAGAACTAGTACTTTGTCAAATCCCAAGGCCAACTTTCTTTAAGCCTTAGCACTGATCAATGGTTCAAGGTTTTTTGATAGCAAATACGACGTTTTTATTAAAGCATTTATTAATTCATAATCCTCTTAGTGGTTTACCACCTGATCGTGGATGGTAGGTGTTCTTAGGTGACGGGTAGTGATGTAGAGTGGTGGATTTCTCACCCGACGAAACCTTCCAGCCCAGCTATGAGTAAACCATTGCCAGCATCCACCACCATCGTGGTACCAAACCAGTAAATCTTCTTCTAATCCGCAAGGAAGGCGAATGCCTGTGGTGCTGACGAGCTGGGGCAGACTTAGCCTAGGGTGACTTCGTTACTCCAGGGAACCACAATGGTTAAACCAGCAGAACTCCACGAAAGTTTACTATAGCCGATGTCTAGTAGGTTTCGCTTTCCTCAGAACCTTTAAAGGTCAAATTGATGTGCACTCAGCCTGACATTTTCACAATCTCGGCGCATTACTTACGAATTAAATTTTCTTAGAGAGGTTATGGAAGTGCTTGGCTTACTTGATTGCTTGTCGATTTGATTATACCACATTCTGAAGAACTCTAAACCGTCAAGACGTGAGCTATTGTGAATTATCAAACGCTTCAATAACAACCTCTTTTTTGCTCACCAATAAAAGCAGTGATTTAACAGTTCGCCAGATTGTATAAGTAGAATTTGAAAAATGAGAGTACAACTAATGAAAAAAGCTTACTGTATTCTAACAGGATGGATTCCGATATATTAACGAAATTAGTAGGGATGCTTGCCAAAGAATGGTTTCGATATATCATCCGCAAGGAGTGGAATTGTTACCGGACAGAAATAGAGCAAAAATATTAAACTTACCGAATAAAAGGAATTAGACGAACTTGGCCTATAAAACCTAGGCAAGGCGGAAAGTTCATTAAATACGAATGGAACAGTCTACACAAAGAATGTTCGTCGGATCAGAAGCAATTATCAAACCGAAGCAAAAATAATAACTATTTTTCAAAGAGAAGCTGATATGCTATATGTATCGCATTTCAAGCTAGATATTATTACGAGACAAGGTTATTTGTTTTTCCAATCATGTGCGACCTTATTTATTGAGGTAATGTAAATTCCTACTTCTAGAAGGGACGACTTCTTCAAAGGCAAATTTCGCTGCAGCTTAGTTGTTGAGGGTTATCTTAGTGATTAGTTGTCTAGCTCCTTGAAAAAGGGCGCTATTTGATCAACAGGAGACAGACAAGTATGATGGATGTTTTAAAGCTTTGTAGCAAAACTCCTTTATTCCTCGGGTTTCGTTTAATTTATGACCAACTCATTCATCGAGCTTTCCCACGATTTCTAAAGTGTGAATTTTCAAAAATTTTCAAGAGCGACCATCATTCAAAATTGGGATAAATAATCACTATTTTTTCAGATTATTCAGATGGCGCGAGATTATTACGAAATCTCAACTCAGCTTAAGCTCAATGCTGGTCATGCCGTTCATCACGTAGAAAGGGTACCAAGCTTCCCCAAGTTTCGAGTCGGGAAATTGGTATTAGACTCGTCTGGACCAGCTCACTCTCCCTAATTCACATGGGGACACCCTAGAAGACTATCCTAGCATTCCAGGTGGAGTCGATTCGATGAGTATTAAACGACATTCTTAAAATCATTGTAAAACAAGTGTCAGCAAAAGTAGTACGTCAAACTATTACACAAGAAATAAGCTCAAAACGTTATACATTGAAACCACTTGCAGCGAAATAAAAGATTTCAAAATTTATTCAGGAATTTCACAATGGCATCAACGGTTAATGTTTTATGCATCACTCTCAAATCATACGGAGCGCAATAAACTCGGTGGAATGGCAGTGCAAAGGCAAACATGTGACTCTTTGTATTCTTGTTGAGCAAACGCGAGGTGTTACTTTTATTCTTTATTCACCAATAAGCTGACGATTCGGCGGATTTCGCCTTCGTCAGAGCCTGGAAAGGTCAAGTTGACAGCAATCTATTCAACCAAACACATCCGCAACCATAACAAATATCAAACAGGTCACAGTAGGAAAAATAATGTGCAAGAAAATTCAAGGCTAACCGTGTTAGGAGGCACGACTCTCCCAGAAGGTGCACGCTCGTTATTTGAATTGGGACCGAGCTTCTCACTATCTGAACCCATTTCTAAGAGAACCTTGCGTAGGGTCGCATGTAGTTTACATGAACTTCAAGATAGACTCCACAAAAAAGCTAGGGGTGAAACGCAAAATAGGTGCGAGCAACACCAAGTGGGGGCCCTATCAATAGCACCATTTCTTCAGCCGTTCTTTAGACAACAAGAGCCCAATAATCAAGTTGATGTTAAATTTCGGATGTTTACGAACGAAACTCTCAAAGTCCTTAATCACTATCCCGCGAAAAGATACAGCTCCAACCTCACTCCAGTGCAAAAACGTGGTATGCGAGAGGTACGAGACCTGATAAGGTTGAAAACCATAAGACTTTCCGTTAGTGATAAGGGTGGAGAGTTTGTCGTAATTCCTCATCAGTTAGATGTGGAGATAACGAAAAAGCATCTTGAGGATGCTTCGCTTTATCGCCCATCATCTGAGAGGGAATTTAAAAGTAAATACCGAAAACTGAACCACGAATGGGCAAAAATGCCAAGGACTGTGGTTTAAAACCATCAGTTATCTCTCAACTAAAAGTTGACTTACCAACATGTTTTGTCTTGTACTCGCTTATAAAAAGTCATAAGTTAGTATCCAGCGATGATCTTGCGTCTACCGATCCATCACTATTTAAGGTTAGACCTATCACTAGCTGCGCAGACAGACCAACGGAGAGAATAACATGGCTTCTAACCCTAATATTTAACCAGTTGTTGAAACACATTCCAGCGAAGAGGTAGTAAGCCAAGTAGTAAAAACATCTTGGTTCATTACCTCTCTTCTCACCCCTCTCACGCAAAAAGGGCGCTTGTAAGAAACATGTTTTGAGAAGGAAGCAGCGTTTGCACGAGAGAGCAGAGAGAGGAGTCCCGGAACTTGGCGCGGCAAATAGCCATTTCTAATGGCTACGAAACTGTAGCTCGGGATAGGTGTAGGAAAAATGCTAGGTCCCCAAACGACAACTCTAGCGACAAAGAGGTCCCGTTTATCCTACTATTCATCTCAAATGATATAAGTGCAGCTATAAAGCGCTGCTTAAGAAAGGCGGGTCTAGAGAATTCGGTAAACGTAGTTGAATTGTCACCGAGTACTCTTAGGCGCCAGCTAGTTCGTAACCGCCTATATAACCGCCTATGTGCAACTCAAAATTGCATAATTTGCCCCAGTGGAAGAGACGGTGAATGCGTAAGCTCGGATGCAGTTTATCTGATCTCCTGTAAGGCATGCCGAGACAAATACATTGGCGAAACGGGCAGACCCCTCTGTGTCCGCATAAAGGAACACCTAGTCGGCTAACGTAAGCCAAGTACCCCACCAAGCACGCATAGGGCCCAGAGACATAAGGGGGAGGCGAGGGGTTCTGGATTACCAGAAATCCGAAAATGAACCGCAAGGAAGAATGCCTCATCATCACGTGTGATATTGCGCAGTATATAAGACTGTTATTCTAATGGGATGGGCACATTACGTTTCCATGTGAATTCTGTGCGGTTGGTCTCCACACGACATACCCAGTGGAAGACTCCTTAAAAGCGGCGAGTGTGCAAAAAAGCTATTCTGTGTTCAATGTGATTGAAATCTTGCTTTAGCGTTTTCTCTGTTTGGTTATGGAGGTGTTTGGCCGAATAGATTGCTGTCAACTTGACCTTTCCATGCTCTGAGAAAGGCGAAATCCGCCGAAACGTCAGCTTATTCGTGAATAAAGAATAAAAATAACACCTCGCGTTTGGTCAACAAGAATACGTAGAATTACTTGATCAATGCCGAGGTTAATAGAAAGTCGGTCGTGGAAGTTACTGCAAATGTGTGATTCTTTCTGCTTCATGAACGAAGCAAGAACGACCGGAATTTTCCAGGTAGTAATGATCAAATATTTCTGGATTGTGCAGCATACCCGACGTTGGTACAAAAATCTCATTTCGATCTACGTCTTGACGTCTTCACTTTCTTCAGAGTGG